CTTTCTGACTGAATCTCCTTGAAGGACCTCTCATAGCAACATACCAACTTGATGACTCGTCTTCCCTTGAGTAAAAAACTTGCTTTGCTTGAGAGGCTAATATATATGGATCCCTTGAAAAACTTACTTGACTATGACTAAGGTTAACAAGTGTGAAACCATCTTCTTCTATTACTCCATTACCCTTCACTGCCCATGCACACCGGAATAAAGGAACATAGAACACATTATAGTCCAACAAGATAATATCAGTTACTCTCCGTAGTAAGATACCAAATCCACCACTTGTGAAGTATCCTTAGCACTAGACCTACAGATTGCCGTAGTCTCATAAAAACACCACTATTCTGACTTTTCCTATCTACTGAACTTGTGTGAAACCGCTGCCCATTGACTATATAACCTGTATATGACCGTGCATAACTACGTGGACCAAATGCCAACCATTTAAGTGTTTCGTCATGTCTGTTTGAATCAAGAGGTATCTAGCAATATGAAAGAAAATAAATGTCAGAATCTTAGCAAGAAAAATAGGACAGATCTTCAGATAAACTAATACTAGCCTGTGCTTTTAGCCAAGAGGCAAAATTCTGATTATGCATACTCCATAAAGTTGATGCATCACGTCTACATCTTCCATTTGAGTCTTGTAGATGTTGCAGATGTTCACTTGTAAGTCAAGAAGAAAATAAGAAGGAATCAGATGTAGTATATTCATATATAGAACTGTTAAATGAAGTAGCTAGAAAACTGTGGAACTTACTCCACATAAGGATCAACCAAAGCCATATTCTGGATGATAGCCATATGGGCTATTTTCTTCTCCATTTCAGTGAGAGAAAATGTCTTCCCTGCAGATATAGGACGCCCCTCAAGAATAGAACTATTCTCATACTCAGTGTTTCTGTCAACCTTCTCTTGAACATTTGTCGTCTTCTTCAAAAATTCATTACAAAACTGGATGCATTCTTCAGCAAGATAGCACTCAGCAATGCACCCCTCTGGTCTTGCAGTGTTTCTGACAAAGTCTTTCAGGACTTTCATATATCTCTCGAACGGGTACATCCATCTAAACTGAACCGGTCCACCTAGTCTAGCTTTCCTTCCTAGATGTACCGTCAATTGTACCATGATATCAAATAAACTTGGAGGGAAAAATCTTTCAAACATGCAGAGAGTTTCAACAACCTCAGCTTCCAATGTCAAAATGTGCTCCCTATCAATTACTCGCTGACACAAGTGGTTGAAGAATGAGCATAAGCGTACAATTGCTACCCTAGGACCTTTAGGTAACAAACCTCTAATTGCAATGGGAAGAAGCTGTTGCATTAGCACATGATAATCATGTGATTTTAGCCCTATGATCTTACAATCTTGTAATGAGACGCCTCTTGATATGTTGGAGCAGTATCCATCTGGGCCTTTGAAGTCAAAAAGTTGCCAACAAAAAATCTTCTTTTTTGTCTTGGATAAAGACCACATTGCTGCAGGCAGGTAAGTCCTTTTTCCTTTGGTTTTAGGGTGCAATTCCTTCCTAATTCCAAGCTCCTCCAGATCTTTACGAGCATTAAGACCATCCTTAGATTTGCCACAATGCAACAGTGTCGATACAGTACTCGCAACCACATTTCTCTCCACATGCATCACATCTAAGTTATGTCTCACAGGGAGTTCCTAACCAACACACATATAAACAAAAGAAATATCAAACACAGATTATTGAGGAAATCTGAAAAAAAAAGTAGCTTGAAATAAAAAACAGAACACACCTCCCAATATTGTAGCTTGAAAAAGATAGACCTTTTCTTCCATCTAGATAACTCATCCTCTTCTACTTCTACTTCTTCCTCTTCTTCTTCCTCTGACTCACTAGATAAATCCTCACTATCAGCATCCAATCCAGTACACTCCGTCCTCTTCCTCTTAGTTGCAGATTTTTTCAGATTTCCAAAATTGTTTTTGAAATTTCTCAGATTTACAGAAATTTCCCGACCACTTAATATTCTTCCTTTTCTTCTCGGTTCAGCTTTTCCATCAAACCATGACTTCTTTCTCCTATAACTATGTGTTGCTGGAAGACCCTTTCTATGACACATGTAGACATGTTTTCTACTGAACTTCAACCACATACTTTCTGTATTTTTCCCACATAAAGGACAAGCCATTTTTCCCTTTACCTTGCAGCCAGCAAGATTCCCATATGCAGGGAAATCGCTAATCGTCCAAAGCAGCATTGCCTTAAGAGTAAAAGTTGATTTACTATAGGCGTCATATGTCAACTCCCCATTATCCCACAGATGGCATAGATCCTCTATGAGTGGTTCTAAGTAGATATCAATACTATTACCCGGCTGTTGTGGACCAGGAATTAACAATGTAAGCATGATGTTCTCCTTCTTCATGCATAAGTCAGGTGGCAGATTATAGTTTACTAACGAAACAGGCGAACAACTATACTTTGTATTCTTCATGTTGAATGGATTAAATCCATCTGTTGAAAGTCCAAGCCTCAGGTTCCTTTCTTCAGCTGCGAATGAAGGGTATTTGTCATTCATCTGGTCCCATGTGACTGAATCCACAGGGTGACGGAGTTTTCCATCGTTGCTCTTGTTACTGAAATGCCACCTTAAATCCTTAGCCATTTCCCCAGACCTATACATTCTCTTCAGCCTTGGAATTATCGGAAAATACCTTAAAACTTTCTGTGGGACACCTTTCTTTAATTCACCATTGTGCATATTAGTCTTCCATCTTGATGTCTTGCATTTAGGACAGTTCTCTAGCATCTTGTACTTCTTTCTGAATAGGCAGCAATCATTGACACATGCATGAATTTTCTCGTAACCCATATCAAAGGATTTCAAAAATTTCTTCACCTCGTATAGTGATGTGTGCAGCACATTATCCGCTGGTAACATCTCCGGAAGTGTCTCTAGGAGTTCATATAACCATAATTAAAATGATTAATCAAAGTGAAATATCTATTACCAATCACATAGCAAAGACAGTAATGTACAAGACAAAGGAAAAGATGGTCTAACCTGTCGTGTAATAAGAGCCAAAGATAACCTCCAAATTCCCATTACTTTAAACATCAACACTTGCAAAACAAAATTAGAGAATGAGTATATCTAGTTTCATGTGTTTGGTAATGCAAGAATGTGTTAGAAAAGTACTTAAAAGATCTAAAGATTCAGATAACAGATCAATACAAAAAGTCAGAACTTACAAGACCAACCAATTGTATCCGACAATAACAGGAGTTACAAGATAATGTCTGTTTGAATGTTCTAAGTGTCACAAATTTCAGAGAACAGATCAATACAAAAATTTAGAACTTACTAAACCAACCAATTGTATCCGACAATAACAGGAGTTACGAGATAATGCCAACTACAAGTTCTAAAGGTCACAAATTTCAGAGAACGTAACAAAAAAAAACTCAATCTTGAAAGCTAAATTAGGCATTCTATTTCTCCAGCTTCGACTAAATCAAATCACACAAACAAATTGTTTTAATTTCGCAAAAAACACGGGCATGCAAAAGAGAAAAACATTGAAGTATCGAATCAGAGAAAACCCATAAATCGAACCATAAAGAAACCGTAATTACACAAAATCTTTGTCTAGATTCACGACAGCTAAAAGAAAACAAACCAGATTAAAGAAAAAGAAGAAATAAATCAACTGATTCGGAGAGACATGCCTTCGATTTGAGCTCAACACCGACAGGGAGAGAGAGATGGGCGGAATCAGGGAGGCGACAAGTTCAGTGTCGCGGCTACCTTCAACGACGGCGGCGGCGAGTTTAATCGGTGGCTACAAGAATCAGTTTCGCGGATTGAGAGAGTTTGAGAGTCTTAGGATTTTTCGAGAAAGAGGGGAAAAAGAAGACTGAAGGCAAAAAGTCTAAATTTTGTCTAAGTGTTTGGCGGATTAAGTGATTTAGTTTCCCGCTATAGTGAAATTCTATCTTAGTGTTATTAAAACGCTATTATATAAAAACAAAAACTACAACTAATCTTCAATAGCAGTTGAGTAATCCGTGCTATAACATTATACTATCAATGTGGACTTTTTTTGTAGTGGTACGTCGATAGCTCTTGCGTTTTCAATTTGTACGAGAGCGGTCACTTGTAAAGATTGCATACATGTAAGATCATGTGGAGAAGATGGAAAACTATCATGAACTTGTGAACTGTTCAAGAATAATATTGAATGATGGAAACTATGATTTTTGAAAATCAAGAATTAAATCGATGATAAGAGACATAAATGTTTTTGCATAAAAAGCCACTATAGAAACGTGGGTAGAACCAAAAATCAAAGACGAATCAGGAACATAAATTGCTAAGCCGAAGAAAAACTAGTCTCACGAAGAGTTGAAGAAATCAAAGTTTAACGCCAGGGCTCTCATCGCTATCTTCACTATAGTGTAGAAATGAATTGATTCAGGGATTTAAAATTGTCAAATAAACAATCATGCATGGAATCGTAATTGTCCGTTCTCACAAACTCATGCACTGACACCACATCCGATTACGTTTAAATCAGCCAAACCATAAGTATAGTAACGTAATTTTCTTTGATTGGATTTGGAATGGCTTACTAAAATAAACTAAAAAATTTGCATGTGTTGGGACGGTTTAGGTTGGAATTGTCCAATAATGCAAAATTTTGAACAGTGCCACATTTTTTTTTTTTTTAGTAAAAGGTTTTTTTTTTTTTTTTTTTTTGAACATAAATACCACGTATTTCTTGTTTGGTTTTGTTAACTTCGGATTAGTCTGGATGTATCATGTATGTAGTACAATCTATTACAGATCCCAGTGCTTTTGTGGGTGTATATAATCAATTTACTTTGACTGTCTCAATTCCATTTTCTTTATTTCATGCTTCATTTTCCTTTGCCGTTTCTTAAAAATTGTTGTTGGACAAAGAAAAAGTCAGATAAATCTACCGTAAAAAAAAGAATAAAAAAAGCATCAAATTTGGTGAAATGATGCAATAACGTCTTGAACAAATCATATATGAAAATGACGATACAATATGATAGGTGATATTGAAAGACATCCAAAAATTACGATTTAATGAATCATCTCGAATAAGAAGAGAGAAGAGCATAAAGTATAAATTTTCTATTTGTACAAAACTATATCAATAACTAAAATTATAACAACAAATGAAAAAAAGCTTTGATTGATCCAAACTCAAACAGTTGTTATTTCAGCTGATGATCTCCATTGGGTTGAATCTGCAAACTCCGTAGTTGACAACTACCACCAGATCTCCTCTTCCAAAGATTCTCCGCCGCTTTATCTCCGGCGCCACCGTCGTGTGTCTTTTTAACCACCGGCAAAGGTGGGTCCAATTCAGCAACGTCGATAACAGCAATCTTTTTGTTACCAAAGTCCTCCTTTCTGATTCTTCCTCGACTAGTTCTGGTTGTGGTGGTAGTGGGAGCGGAGAAAGAGAGATTCTTGCCGGAAAAGAGACGTTTAAGCTTGAAGTAACGGTGGTGAGAGGCGGGGGTGATGGAGATGGAAGTGGTGGTGGGGAAGCCGACGATCTTGTTGCTACGTTTGACTTGACCAATGCAGCTGATTTTGGGAGACAAAGGATCGGCTTGTTGGTAAGAGTCTTCTTGATGTGATTTAGCTGGGAGGGTCACGTTCTTGATGGAAGGTCTTGAACATAACATTGGTAAGAAAGTTGGTCTTTGGAACTGAACACTGTTTTGTCTCGTCTCCATCATCTTGATCTTCTTCTTGATTACTCTTGAGAGACAAGAGAGATGAAAGTTCTTGATTACAGAAATGGACTTACTTTCTCATGTGTAAGAGAGAAAGAGAGAAATAGGAGAGTTTGGGTTTGTGGTAGTTGGAGAGTAAGAAAGCTTTGATGGTTAAAATAAGAAGATATAGAGAGGCTTTGGTCAAAGTGGCTTTATCATTAGAGCAGCAGACATGTCAATTTTTGGGTTTCACGTTCACAATCACTTTCAGATTTCTTTCCAGAATATTGGCTTCTTCCTAATCTGGTAAATTATATTTCTTCTCTATTTTTTAAAAAATATTATCTCTTAAGGAATATCTGCTTTTTTAATAATTGAGATTTGCCATTGGCTTGAAGATGGGAAATAAAATAATTGAGAATATTGCCATTTTTGAAACAGTTATGAGAAAATATTCATGTCAAATGCATTTACTCAAATATCATTCTACTCATAGTTGCATCAACAAAATTTCTTATATGCTGTTTATTTTTATTTACTCAAATAAAATAAAATATTTAAAACGTTTAGCATAGTACTATCACCGAACTTTTTTCATTTTATTTCATTTACATATTAGTGTTGATTAAAAAGAATAGTATTTATTATCGTAATATTATATAAACGTATATAGTGTACTATTTACCATGTCACCATTGATGACAAAAGTGTAAGCATCAGTTTTAAACTTTGCACGAGGAAATGGGACAATGCTTAAATGGACCGCTAATTTAACATTACATCAGCCAATTCACGTTGACAGTCGTCTTATTACTCACCAATTAATACGCTTCATAGTTTTTTCATTAGATGAGATTTAAAATTATAGATCTGACCATCGAAGTTTTTTAAAATTGGTGTTAGCATTTGGACAAAGTTGATTGGACTCTCTGATCAGACCGGTAAACATTCCACCCAAAATGACCATCCGATTCGTTTACAACGTACGTACAACCTTGACTTTATGATGTAGTTGAAACCCAACAAAAATCAAAAACGTAAAAAAATCTACGAGCCAACTAGTTCGTAGATCAAAATAATAAATTCTACTCTTGGAAATTCAACGAATAAAAAACATTTTTTATCGTTAATATATATTATCCAGACTTTTAATTAGACTACATGTAAGAGTTTTTTTTGAAGCAGTCATTACTAAAAAAGGAGCATGAGCATGAACTACGAAGGTTTTACCTCAAAAAAATAATGAAGGCTAACTGTAATTGGTTCTTTTGAGTCGCACATATACCACTGGCGTGAATACAAACCCATCATTTTGATGCCTACATTTATTGAGCCTGCAAAAAACATATTAAATGGTTATATCATTAAGATTTAGTTAATTTAAATTGTACTAGAAAGAAGGCCTAACAATAATGGCTCCAAAACTTGTAGTTCTATTCTATCTTTTCCCAAGAAAGGTCCAAATTTGATGGTAAAAAGTTAATGAATTATGTACTAATGTCTACTGTCTTTGTCCCCTTCTTCCTATACACTTCAGTCTACTTTTTCATTTTATAATCACTGTTACATTATTTGGATCTCTCCAAAACAATTGTTTATCTTAGCCACTTAGTGACATTTATAAATAAATGGTTATACTTTTTTGGGGGAATCTATAAATTATATTCTAGAAATAATCAATAACATTTTTTTATATAAAAGTTTCTATCAAAATATTACAACTGAAAGTTTTTGCAGTATACTTGTGTTCAGATCGGAACATGACGAATGTGAGATGGTATCTTTAGTTCAATTTAGTTTCTTAAGCTTATTAAAAATATTTGACTCAAAAGAAAATACGCTATTATCTCAATTTCAATTTTGTTTATCTTCAAAAAAAAAAATGCTACTAAATCATGCCTAAAATAAAAATAAGATCATACAATATTTACTTTATGGACATGGTTAAAATTTGAGTGATTTTCTCATCTGCTCTGAATGTAGGAAGATGATAGCTTCTAACTAGACGAGCATGTAACATGCAAAGCTTCTGGTTGCTCATAAACAACTCGAGGAGGCTTAAACACCAAGGTAAGGTGAAGTTCTTGCCGCTAAATAGGAGTCAATGATAGTTTGAAGTTTAAACTACAAACCCCCTAAAGGTAACTTGAGGTTGGAAGATAGGATTATCGTGGAAAATATAAAAATCGACTTAGAAGTGGATTTGGTCGAGAGTTACTCGGCCACAAACGATAGTCGCTGGATCTTTGGCTAAGACATATATACAATGTGGTCAGCTTTCCTAAATCCTTTTCCTATTTTCGGAACAATAGACTCCTCTATCACCCAACTTTTATTTTTCGAATTCCCAACTATTTAATAGGATGAATCAAATAATTTTCTTTTTTTTCTTTTCTTTTTTCTTTATTTACAAAGGAAAAATAGTACATCAAATTATATCTCTTAGAAAATGATCATGTAAACTAGTAGAAATCATAAAACTAATAAGATAGTAGGTTTATCTTTAGTTCAATGTTGTGTTTCTCAAGCTTATTAAATTCAACGCTTATTAAAACTCATAAAACTAATAATTTCATGGTTTGTTGGATTTATCATTTCGTGAAGAGGACCTTAACGAACATCACTGTTGAGTGTGGATATATTTGTACTTTGCTCAAACTTTCACGTTTGTTTTTTTTTTCTTTTCAAAATCGAAGATGCACAATTGCCAGACCTCATGTATACAGATAGTCTCAGCCCATTTATTTTGGAAAAGATTTGGACTGACCATAACAGAAAAAAAGACTTAGTTAAATACAAGCTTATTACATGTAAAATGAATATATTAAATTGGAAAACTTGAAAACGTAACTTGTCTAATCCTTTTGGAACACCACTTAAGAGTTTGTTTCAAAATGCATAATTATGAAGTTGAAAAAGAAGCATAATTATGAGATTTTGTTTCTTACGTTAAATCTAACATCTCATCAGTGCTTTTTTAATTTTGACGTCCTCAGGATCAGTGTTTAGGAGACGTACATACTGTCGTATAATAATATAAATTCCAACAGAAAATTAAGGAGGCATATGGTCATCACTTATAAGCAACTTATAATACTCGCTGGATCTCTGTTGCCTAGTAATTAAAAGGACTCTTGGACTACATTACAAATTATTTTTGAAATAGCATACCACTAATCTGACGTAGTTAACAAAACAAATAATCTTACACCGAAACAATGATTTGCAATAATGAACTACTACATCAATTTTTATTTTATTTTTTCGCTAAACCGTCAAAACTTCGATTTTGAAAAATAATTCTGATCTGTACTAAAAGATATTCGAATCCAGGACACAAGAAATCTAACTCTTTATACTACCATTGAGTAATAAATACAACGATTATAGAAGGAGATTAATGTTTTAGTACCATAACAATAAATATTTGGTTCTTTTTTATTATTCTTTCATCCTAATAATTAACTTTAGTTTTATCATTTATGTTTGGTAAAGAGCGACCCACATGAGAAACAAAGTGAATCAAATGACAGATCTATAAAGTAGGGAAAAAAACAAAGTGAAGAAAGTTAGTGAAACAAAACAAATACGATTAAAGATAACTAATAATAATAAAAATTGGGAGATGTACACAACTCACCCGACCAAAATGCATGTGCTTGGCACTTGAAAAGTACGTTACTCGTGATTCCACTTTATCGTAGTTTCCTCCATAGTCCATACACACGATTTGGACTAATGGACTTTTTCAGATTAATGGAAGAGAAGAGCTTAACGAGTTAAAATAGGACAACAACAAGTGTCCAAAAAACAAACACCACTTCACTTACTGTTTGGACAATAAGTCTTAGCCTCTTAGGTCTTGTAAGGAGTCTACGTATGACTTGTCACCGAAGCAAAAGACCCATCACAGCTTTACTGTTCTCAACTCTCAATATTATATGATTCTAATCCTGAACGCTGAATCCACTATTAGGAACTGAATACTAACAAATCAAATTAGCTGTCAACACTGTTCTATGACCCCCCTACGTGCGCCTATTAAACTATTCAATTTTATTCTATGAAGACTATGTTGAATTGTGTTGATGGTGAACCAACTAAAACAAAAAACAATGCACGAGCTGTTGGGCCCAAAACGAAAGAAATTGGTATGTAAAGTTAGCAAAGACAGATCAGACGAAGATATTATCATATTATAATGAACTTGGTAAATTAAAGTTAAGTTAATCGGAGCTTGGGCAATTATGCAGTTAATGAGATTATAACCGAGGCACGTCTATTGCTTGAAACTATTTCTAAACTTTCTCTTGGGCTGGGGCTTGAACCACGGCCTTTGAAAATTTCTCGAAGGATTCCCCTTTGAGGTATAGCATTACAACAACAAAAATGAAATAAAAGAACTACAGTCAAACCTGTATAAATTAATACTCGATAAATAAATAGAAAATTTCGGTCGAGAGTTATGAGCAGTACAAAAAATAACACAAATCGATAAAATAATAATATAATATTTTTTTAAAATACTAAGTAAGAATATAGTCCCATCAATATCATAAATTAATAGTTGTATAAATTATCAATATATATATATACAGTAAAATATGAATATAGTATTGTTTATTTTTCTAAAATTTGTATTAGCTTTTGGCAGAGTTTAATTCTAATAATTTTACTACATTTTAAAAAGTTTTGTATTATTTTCTAAGCTTAAGAAATTTATTTGCTACTTGTAATTTATTTTAGAAAGATATTTCACTATAAAGAAAAAATTGTGTTTTATACAATGTTTTTTAAAAATTACAAAATTAGTAAGATCTCTATATAAATTAATATCGATAAATTAATATCTCTATAAATTAATAGAATTTTTTGGTTCTAATACTATTAATTTATAGATGTTTTACTGTTCAAACTTTGAGCTGTTTAATCCATCATCTACTTGTAAAAAAGCTCACCCCAATATAATTAAAAAACTCTACACGTTTCCATATCTATAGAAATAAAATAATAAGGATTTGGGTTTTCTGCAAAATAACCCTCCAAGTTAATTTCGTTTGCAAGTTTATCCTCTAAGTCCGAATTATGCAAGTCAATCCCACCATCTCTAAAGTCACCCGCAATACAACCCTCCCATGTAGCGATGATGTGATACTCGATAACTCCGTTTGAAAACATAAGGGTTTTGTGCAAAAAAAACCCTCATTGTAATTTTTTTTTTGCAAGATAAACCTCCATGTCAAATAAATACAGATCAAACCACAATCTGAAAAGTCTCCTGCAATATAGCCCTTCCGTGTATCGAGGATGTGGCAGTCGATAACTCATTTTAGAGCATGTGCAAT